CAGAAGCTGTTTGGGGGTCCAGAGAGAAGTGAGCTCTTGACTTGCCCGTTATAAGCTCACAGGATACATTTGAAATGTGACCCGAGTGGACATTTTCAAACCAGAGGAGTCGGGATGTGCGGAGTGGAGCACACAGCTGAAAGGCGATGCTGACTCGAATCTTAGAAGACAGAACCAGAACATGGTGGTAAAGAGGCAACAGGCCCCAAATGGAGTCACTTGTGCTGCATCCATATCACCAAACCGACTGAACACCTAACCCATCTGCAGTTCCAGCCTCTCCCAGTAATTTAACAGTCAGCCTGGGATTTCCTGGCCAGCACCAGTGAGGTCATCCCCAAAACCCCTCCTGTCGCCCAAAGGACGGTGGCAGAAAACTGAGACTATCCACTCTTCGACAGAAATTTCCCCGCCCCCTTTCTGTCCATGAAAACCTCTCTTTTCTGCAGCTCGGAGGAGGTCTCTCTACTTGCCAAATGGAACACTGCCCGATTCGTGAATTGTTGAATAAAGTCAGATTGATCTTGAACTTTACTGTTGAATTTTTGTTGTTGACAGTGGGTTGGAAGAACATAGGGGGTGCTGTTGCAGGGCTACAGCGTGAAGACTGTCAGTCCAGATATTTTGATTGGGGGTTGGGGGGTGGGCACTGACTCCTATCAACACCAGGCAATGGTGGGATGGGGTTAGAAAGAATAAAGAGAAGAGCGAGAGCCACAGAGGACAGAAGGGCCAGCGTGCAGAAGCTAGGAGTCCCAAAAGGAGGAAGATATTGCAACAGGGAAGAGCAAATATTTGAAAAACAATAGAGGAGATAAATTTTCCAGAATTGAAGAAAAATAAACAAACTCAGACTGAAAGGACTCACAGACTGAAATTGGAGAGATACAGAGAAATCCACACTGTTAGAAAGTTCTAGAAACATCCTGGGAGAAAGAACATGGCACAAGAACCGATGGATGCTGGACTTCTCAACAGAAAACAAGGAGACCACAAAGTAATATTTTTTAAAGTATTGAAGGAAACAAACTTTGCACCTAGAATTTTACATCCAGCCAAATTGAAAGTATAATTAAAGTATCCTCAGCAATACCAGGCTTTAGAATGTTTCTCAACCCCAAGACTCTCATTAATAATACTTTGTATTTCATAAGTAGCACAAATGCAGGAGAAGCTCCAAGAGGTATGGAACATCAGGGTTACCAAGCATCTGGGGATGTGAATTAATTGTCTTAAACAAAAGCAAAGCAAAGAAAAATATCATATCCACAACAACTCAGAGCTACAATTCTGGACAATATCAGCAGCTAAAATACTTGACTATTAAGGGAAGACATAACTAGAGGGGTGCACAGGGCTAACAAAGAAAAAGGGTCTAAATAAAGGGCAGTGGCCACACAATAGAAATAATAAAAGTAAGTCAGTAGAAGAAAACTCACCCTACTCAGTGAGAAAGAAATAGGAAAAGTTTTACAGCGAGTGTAAATTTTTAATAAGATGGCAAAACTGATTCTTGATATAACAGTAATTACTAAAAATGTAAGTAAATTAAATTCCAATTAAGAGGTATAAGTAGATTAGATTTAAAAATTTCAACAATGGATTGCCTAAAAGATACAAAGTTTAGAACAAAAATGTTGGCAAAAGACATACCAGACAAGTAATGAAGCAGAGGATACTGGGTTGACACCTTAATCTATGACATTCAAATTTGAGACAAAAAAGTAAAAATAGAAAAAAACAACAACAAAGAAGGCCACCACAAGCGTGCCAATGAGAGGGGCCGCACTCCTCAGAGCCAATCTGACACGTGAGGCGGCGCCTCGGTGAGCAGCACATCTCATCCGCCAGAGCTGCAGGGAGAAGGAGATATTTCAACACTTTTTGTAAAATATATATTGTTATTGATTTCAGAGGGGAAGGGAGAGGGAGAGAGAGAAACATCCATGATGAGAGAGAATCATTGATTGGCTGCCTCCTGCACGCCCCCTACTGGGGACGAGTCTGCAACCCAGGCGTGTGCCCTTGGCCAGAATCTAACCCCCCACCCTTCAGTCCACAGGCCTACGCTCTAGCCACTGAGCCAAACCGGCTAGGGCTATTTCAACACTTTTAACTGGAGATTTTAATTAAAAAAAAAAAAATCTATTTAATAACACAAGCAGACAAAAATGAGCAGAATCTGTAAATCCTGAACTATTAACCAGTTAACTGCCATGCATCCAAAACGGAAACCATCCCCATACGCCACGATATTTTGAATTTAATTTAAAAAATCAATTTGCAATGAATATTATAAAAATAAATCTATTACTCACAATTCAGGTGTTCTTGAATATTTTCAGTTGAAAATTCTCACGAAAAATGGTTTTAAAGCATCTATATTCACTTACAAAGGGTTAAATATGCATAGGCCTCTATAGCCATCAAACAGAGATGTAGAATATTTACAGAAACAGACGATGTGTTAGGCCCCAGAGAAGCCTCGATAAATTCCCGAGGTGAAATTCCATGCAGACAGAGCTGCTGAGCTCGGTTTGTTTGTCTAAGGCCCCTTTGCCCGAGGAACGCCCTAAATGGGCCTGGTCAGTGGGTACCCCGTCCTCCAGCTGGCTCCAGCCCAAGGGAGCACTACCCAACCCTGCAAGGAGGGAGAGTGAGGTCCAGGGATTTGTTGCCCACACCCTCCAGGCTGGCTGCATCCTCAGCCGAGGCCTCTGCTCCTACCAGGGGCCACGCCCTCTTCTTCCTCTCAGCCCTCACAGCCTGGGGTTTCCCTACCTCCTACCCACCCCTTTGAAAATGGTCACCCTTATCAAACACTTCTCAAATTACCCAGCTTGAACATGCCATCTGCTTTCTGCTAGGATCCTGATTAAACACAGGCCTTGCTCTTAAACAATAATGCAATTAAATTAGAAATTGGTAACAAAAGATTATAATAAAAGAAATTCTATTGTAAAGTAAATAACATTGTTAAATAACCCACGGGTTTAAAAGGAGATTATCAGGGACATTAAGAAATATTTAGATCTGAATGATCATGAAAGCATTGTATGTACAACTTTGTGAGAGTCAACTAAGGTAGTGATGCAGAAGGAATTTTGTAGCTTTAAATAGGTCAGAAAACCAGAAGGTTTAAAAATGAATGAGCTAAGCATTTAGCTCACGTGCGAGCAATAGACCAAATCCAAAGAACCTAGACAGTAGAAAATTATAGATAAGTATAGAACTAAATGAGATAAAGGGAAAGATGAGAACATTAACAAACCTGAAATTTGGTCCTTTGAGAATGTTTTAAAATGTTAAAAAAGAAAAATGCAAATAGGTAAAATCCAGAATGCAAAATAAGTACAGACACAATATGCTAGTACAGAAACAATAAGTAAGAATAAACATCTAGTGGGGTGGGTAAGAGATCAACCGAAGGACTTGCATGCATGCACATAAGCATAACCAATGGACACAAGACACTGAGGGGTAGGGGAGGCCAGGGGAAGGTCAAGGGGGGAAAAAAAGGAGACACATATAATACTCTTTGTAATACTTTAAGCAATACTCTTTGTAATACTTTAAAAAAGAATAAATATCTAGTAATTTTAAAACCTCAGTGAAACAGATTAATTCTTAGAAACATGTAAAATGACAATTTTGGCTCAGAGGACTTGACCAGTTCAATAAGTATGATAGAAATGGAAATAATAAAGACACCCTCCACACACACACACACATCCCACCCCCAGGGGCACAGATAGTCTTTTTCTCTCAAAAGTTTGGAGGAAAAATAATTTCTCTTTTAGGTGGTTCCAGGAAGTAGAAAAAAGGAGGAGCTGTCTAGGGTCTTTGGAGGGGAGGGCGGAGGGACGGTCTCCTTTGCAGACGTGGGTATGTCTGTGCCCTTGTTCCTTTGTAGGCACGTGCCACACAGATGGTGCAAACCGAGGCGAAGCACTTCTTCCGCAGCTGGGCTGCGTGAGGATTAGATGGTTAACAGAGCAAGGCCTCAGGGCAGCGCAGGGCACCTGCGGGTCCAGGGCGGCTTAGCCCCGGGATGCCGAGGATGCTGGGCTGGAAAGGGATTGGCCGGGTTTCCAAGTGGCATGACGTCACCGCACCCCACTGCAGTTCCGGTGGGTGAGTTGGCCCCGGGCTTTGTCAAAGTTGCCCAGCGCCTGGCGGCCGGTAGCGGTTAGTGGCGCACACGGGGCTGCCAGTCAGTCCCTGGTGGCCCAGCGAGCGGCTGGGGATTGATGAAGTCGGGGGTTTGCGTGTAGACCCGGAGCAGCGTGGGGTTTGGTGGTCCCGGGCAGTGAGGCTGGAGAGACAGGGTGTGAGGGCAGCGGGGGGCGGGTGATCAGGAGAAGTGGGGCGGGCGGGGGCGGGGGTCCCCCCAGGCCTGTGGGGGCGGAGAAGGCGGCGGGTCCGCGGGCGGGCGGGTTGCATCATCCTGCCAGGAGGGCTGCCCGCGATGCTGATGCTCTGGCCCAACTCACCTGTTACACCTGAGTCAGGGTCTCCATCCCGCCCCTGCTGCCGCTCCCTGGGGTAAGGAGCCCACCCGAACTTGGTCCCTCCGCAACGACGCTGTTGTTTGTACTGTTGGCTGCCAGGGTGGGGGCAGGTAGAGAGGGATTTCATGTTTTCATGTGATAAAGGTCATAGGAGGGCCCGGTGCGGAGTCCGCGGGCAAGTCGGGGTGGGTAGGGGGCCTCGGGGTTGGGCGCCGCCAGGTCCTGCATGGGCGCGCGGGGGCTGCGCCAGGAGAGGGGGCACCGCGTCGAAGCTGGGTGTCGGTCCCCCACCTCTCCACCCAGCGCGCTTCGGTGTCAGCGGTGACGTCACAGCCGGGACCCAGCCCCCTTTGGCTCCATCTAACCCCATCCCCGCGGCGGCCGCGACGCCCGTCCTCTCCCCGCGCGACAAACCAGCTGGCGGCTGGGCTCGGGCGCCGCGCGCAGCCAACCAGCGCGGCGGGAGGGGCGCGGGGCTGGGCGGGGCGGGCGGGGGGCGCGCAGCCCGTCACGCGGTGCAGCCGTCACAGCGTCCAGTGCAGCCCCGGAGCAGCAGCAGCTCGGCGCTCAGGGACCCGCGCCCCTGCCCGTGCCCATGCCGGGCCGCCTCCAGTGAAGCCAGAGAGGTAAGCCCGCCGCCTGCCGGGTTCCTTCGCCGCGCCAGGCATCCGCACCTGCACCCCGCATCCTGCACCAGCACCGACTGCCTCCGGCGCCAGCGTCCTGCTCGCGGCCCGAACCGCTGGCGCCGTGCGGCCCCTTCCCTCCCCCGATCCCTCCCCCGTCCCCGCGGAGAACAATGGGGCAAATGCAGGGGTGTCCGCCCTTCATTGGAAGCCTAGCTGGGCCCTCGGGAACGGCCCCTTCGCTGCGGCCCCTGCTGCGGCAGGACTCTCGGCTGGGATGGGCGAGGGTCGCCTGAGGAAGGGTGAGCGCCGCCGGCGGCATCTCGAGACACCCGCCCTCCCTGCCCGACTCGACCCCTCTCTGGAGAGAAGCCGTAGAGCTGGGATGCGGCGCGGGCTGAGCCTGGACCAGCGGGGGCGGGGAGGGATGGAGAGGAGAGAAGACTTGGATGGGGGCAGGGGGGAGGGGCGCGGCTGCAGCGGCCCGACTCTGGGGGAGGGTGCCCAGGGCGGGGGTAGCTGCCCTGGTCCCCAGGGTAGGGGAGGGCAGAGACTGAGCCAAGAGCCTAACAGGCGGGCGGGCGAGGCCCGCGGGGGCTGCTGCAGGAAGGCCCGGCCATAGGCCTGGTGCGCACCTCCGGAGCTGCCCATCATCCTACCCCAGCCGTGTCCCCTTCCCAAGAGACCCCAGAAAGACCAATGGCTTGGGAGGGGCCGCCAGCAGACAAGGCCTGCGTCTACGCAGCCGGCTCCCAGTAACAGGTGTGGCCGACAGCGGGCGGGGAGGGGGTTTCGGGGCCGCCACATCTCCGCTGCAACGCTCCCCAGGGGCCCGGGCTCTGATGTCAGGGAGGAACGCGGTGGGGTAGATCCTCGCACTCCCCCTCTAAGCTGCCCCTCACTCTAACTCTCCCCCAATCCGAGGCGGAGCCCTCGCGCTCCGGTAGGGGCGGGATCAGCATCCCGGCGGGGCGGGGGTCCGCAGTGGGCGGGGCGCTCGGTGGGCGGGAGGGCCGCGGGCGCAGGGCCGTGAGGGGGAAGGGAGGGAGGGAGGGAATGCCAAGTCATGGGGCCTGCAGGGCGCGGGCGCGACGTCACCCCCGCGCGGACCCGATGCGCGCCCACGTGCCCTGGAAGAGGGACATTTCCCTAGAGACAGCGGACCCCTCCCCAAGCGGATGCCCCGCCCCCAGGGGGCGCTGGCATTGTGGGATGAAAGGCCTGTTGGGGCTGGCTGGCGGCTTCGGAGAGGCGGGGGTGCACTGGTCCCATCCTAGCCCTGGGGACTCAGGCACCCGTTCCTGAGTCACAGCAAGTCACATCGGCCCTGCTCTCTCTACCCTGCTCTCAGCTGGCGAAGGGGCTCTGCCAGCCCACCTTGCCCATCCGCCTCTCCGCCTCTCCATCTGAGAAGGTAGCTTCGAGTTTGAAGGGAAACTGTGGGGTCCAGTGTGGGGGTTGGGGCTGTACCTGCGGCGGCCATTTTGCAGGTGTGGCTGTGGGATGAGGGTAGTCAGGTCTGGAGCAGGGGGAACGCCTGCAGTGGGGTGCAGTGCTTGCAGTGCAGGGTGGGCATCTGAAGATGGGCAGAATGTCCTCCGTGGGGTGTGGTCCACAGGGCAGTGAGGCTGGGATCGGGTGTGGAGTCAGGGCCCCCTAACCCCAAGGCTGTCAGTGAGGGCCCCTGTAAGGACAGGCCTGCCTGCTGCATGCCCCCCTGCCTTGCCCCCCTCCCCCCAGTGCCCCACAGTTGTCCCTTAGGGCCTCCTGCTTCACCAGCCACAGCCAGGTGGACACAGGTTCTGCTCCAAACCCAGAGCTGGTGAAGCTGGGGTCCATACCCTGACCCACTGGGTGAGGGGTTCCGGACAGCCAGCCTTGCCCCTTCCCGTCCTCCCTGGTGTCACCGCTGCTGCCCCAGGGCTGACCGTGTCCTCTGGAAGCAGAGCAGGGAAATCTTCCCATGGGTGGAGGTGGAGGTGGAGGTGGGAGCCTGGGGGGATGGGGAGAGCCTTCCTTGGCCACTCAGCTTGCTTGGGCCAGCCAAGGAAGCGAGCTGGGTGTGGCAGGGCAGGGAATCTTTTGAAGGGGTCCTGGTACCACAGGATGGGGACATGGGGGGCTGTGGAGAGGCTAGCAGCACTAGAACCATGCCCTGGCCTTTAGGTTTGACTGACCAGGGCACATGTCCTGATGACCCTGCACTTCTAAGAGCCAGGAGGGCCTGTGGTGGAGAGTGGCTGGTCAAGGGTCACTTGTAGCTAATGACCCTCAGGATGACCCCCAGGTTGTCCTCCTGCCCAGCCCATTTAGTGTTCTTAGGCCCAGGACAGGGCTCACCACCCAGGGATCCCAGTGTGTCATTTCCACGGTCCCTCTCATGCCCAGGAGCATCTCAGAGCTCTTTTGGGGCTGGACTATACCCTGCTCCAAACCTGTCGGCTTTGGGGTGTCCAAGGGCACAGCCATGCTGGTGGGCCAGTGATGTCCTCAGTCTGTTTCTTCCCTTAGCTGACTGCCTCTGCCCACCTGGTTTCCCCCCTCCCCCCACAGGCATGCCCAGGGCTGGGGTAGAGGGCCTGGCGAGGCCTGTGCCCCACTGCCCCACCTGAACTAGTAGGTTTGCTGTTCGATTGCTGCCATGACCAGGTCGTGTTTAACTCCTGATCCTGGCTGCAGGCTGGGCTGAGAGGTAGTGGATGACCCCAGGCAACCCCATAGCCCCCAGCCCAGTGCCATCAGGACCAATGAAGTAGTCATTGTATTGGGGTCTTTGGAAGGGTGGAGGGCACAGTCAAGGTCAGCTGTCAGCTGAGGCTGAGCCTCCTGACCCCTCCCTGTTCCTCTCAGCCCCTCCTGGGTGCCTCAGTGCCCCCACCCACAACACCACCTCACACCTGCTTTCTCCCAAATTACCCTGGCTTAGCCTTCGAAACTGAAGCTGAACTCCTTGTGGCCTGAGTACCATCCTGATCCAGATACTCTGCCTGGGTGGCTGGGCTCCCCCCTCTCTAAAGGCTTCTCACCCTGGATTTAATCCTCTAATCCCCAGCTCCCTGGGGTGGGAAAGCACCACCTCTATCCCCTGTCCCCCTGCTCAGATTTTAGCCCCTAGAGGCGCGTCTAAGGAGAGCAAGTCTGGACCCCACCTGTCCAGGTTCCCTGTTCTTACTCTTTACCCTTCCCTCCATGGCCCTTGGGCTGGAGCAGCCACCCCGTACACACACACATACATGCACACTCACCTCACTACACACGACACCCACAGAGGTTCACACACTCATTCCCACACACAGAGTTTGCAGCCAGCTATGTCCATGTGAGGTTCTTAGAGCCCCTCAAAGGCTGCCACCACCTTGAAGCCCTCTGTGAGCACCTCAGGGTGTCAGCCTATCCCCTCTGTAGGAAAGGCATGGACATTTATTGAGTGCAGATTCTAGTGTACACGTCATGTGAGCCCCTTGTTGATGCCCCTGAGACTCCGCGAGGCAGGTGGTGTCCCAGACTTGGAGATTGAGGATCCTGAGATGGGTGTGCATTGCCAGGGGGACCTGGGACTCTCCCCAGCTCCCTGTGACTTCCAGAGCTTTCTGTCCCCCTCTCCCTCCCCCTCCCACCCGCCCTAGCGCACTCTCCCTCCTCCTGGCCCAGCACAGTCTCCGGAACAGCAGGCACTCAGTAAGTGATGTTTGATTGAGCCGGTAGCTTTTTAACCCAAGTGGCCCATTTCCTGAGGGCCCAGGGCGAGCAGCTGCCACTCTGTTAGGGGTGGGGTCCTCTTTGTGTCCCCACTCAGGGCCTGCTGGTTCCTGAGGCAGCTGCCTCCCTTCCTCTGGGTCTCCTGAAATGCAGCTCTTGTCTTCCAGTGGAATGGCCCCAACTGTTCTTGCAGGCCCCACTCCATGCAGACCCCCTTTTCCTTGATCCAGCCTCTGGCTTTCCTCAGAGGGAGGCAGTGATGCCCAGGAGTGGCCTAGAGGGGTGTCAGGAGTCCTGGATCCCACTCCTGGCACTCAGTTTCTTTCTCCATCTGTCATCATCTCAGGGTGGCAAGGGGCAGGGCTGGACCATTAATGCCCAAGGCCACGGGGCAGTGGGCCCAGGCTTCTGTAGAGCTATCATGGGGCTGAGGCAAGGGGTCACTCAGCTGCCTACTGTCATTCTTCACCTGCTTCTGGGGCCAGGGCCACACCATGGCTGTGGTCCCTGGTGCCTGGGAGGCGGCAGCTGCAGAGTGCAGCAGGCCAGGCCCAGACCAGAGGAGAAATCTTAGCGCCGTATCTATCCCCTTTGCTCCGGCTTCACAGTCAGGCAGGACATTCTTGGTGGTGTTTTTTCCTAGATGTGAGCTGTCTTTTTCTTATATTGTATGCATTTCTTCTGTCCTCACCTTTCCCCAGCTCTCAGTCACACTTTCTGGTGCCCACACCCCTGGAAGCCCTCTTTATCCCTGAGTTGGAGTCTGTGTCTCAGCCCCCAGTGCTGCTTCTTTCTTGGTTTCCTGTCCTGTTTTGCTGGAGCACATCCTTGTGTGACTTCCTGGAATGGGTGATGAGTCCTTGGCTGAGTAAGAGTGTCTTTGCTCTGCCCTAATCTGGGTGGATGGTTTGTTGGATGGCACTTGTTTCTGGTAAATCATTTCCCTGAGAACGCTGGCCGCATCCCTTGCTTCTGAGAAGTCTTTCAGTAATTCCTATTTCCTCTCTGGAATCTCTCAGGATCCCTTCTCCCTGAGGGGCTGTCTCCTGGGTGGGTCCACGTGTGCTGGTGCTCGTCCAGCCCTTTCCACTGAGGACTGGCTCTCTTCTTCCATCTGCCACCTGCTCCTCCCTGCCCATTTTCTCTGTTGTCTTCCCTGAAAGCCTGCGTTGGTCTTCTGTGTTCTTGCCTTTCCCCTCACATATTCTGTCTTGAACCTTCCCATTTCATAGCACCCTCTTCTTGTTTTGAAAGTGTAGTGTCTCCTTGAAACATTCTGAGTACATTCAGAGGTTTGGGGT